TCAGGAACAGTATGCCTTAAATTCCGGGGGAAAAAAAAATCTCTGAATGGAAGCTCAGGTTTTCATGGTCAGTCCCAAGCACTGAATTTCTACATTCATTGAGCAGCAGTCCTTGTGGCACCACACATTTTATACTCCTTGCTGTCCTGAAACCCCAACATTTCCATCTGGGTGACATTTTACTGCCTCTTCATTATATACCAGGAGGAGATGCTGATGGATTAGCATCACATCCAAAACAGAAACTGGCATCATCTCAGACTCACGAGATTTACAGCAACTACAAAGTAAATTTGGATACTTTTTTTAGTTCTCTCTCTTCCTTTTTTAGAAATAAATCTTAGGAAAATACAATCCCAAAGGCCTAACAGGCACACATTTACAGATGGCAGCAGTGAGTCATAAATGACATCTTTTCCTGGTACTATTTATGAGAGTCAAAAAACTGAACATATTATGAGCCATTTATAATGTTCTTCAGCAGAACAGTCAGCCAAGAGACAGAGCTGAAAGCCTGTTGCAACAAAAGGTATTAAAGTGAGGAGGAGAACAGTATCTATAATTACTACTCCAGTGATAAAACAAGCATATTACAGCAGATGGTTTAACACAAGATCACTATTAAATAAAACACTGGCTCCAATGCCAAGGGATGAATATTCAAGGAGCCAACTGAGTAAAAATGTATAAAGGCAGCAAATGCAGCTCAGTTAACCCAGAAGTTTTGTGCAAGACTAACCAAAGACATCAAACCCCACATAATTCCCCATGTTGGCAGAACAATCCCTCTGCAGTCAAAACTTTCCCCATTAGGAATTGATCAATGCAAATGGCAGGACTGAGCATACTGATGGCTCAGGAACTTGATCATGTTTGACTGATAAAAAAAGGTGTGAAACTCAACCCCAAAACAAATCCAAACCCTAACAGAATTAATTTGCAGAGCTTTTTCACATACCACTTCAGAAACTTCCCAGTTCTTCATAAGAAACAGACTCTAATTCATCTTCTTGGCAGCTTCACAGTTGTAGGATGTTGTTTGACAAAACAGGAGCCAAGTTACAATCTAAAAAGAGGTTCTTTTCATTTTTAGAAGTTTTGAAAAATATTTTATGGTCAAAAGTAAGGCTGGAATTAATTAAAGTGACTAAGGCTGCACCACAGAGTATGGAGCTGCAGTGCTCATGCTGCACAGCAGGGCTCCAGCTCTCAGGGGGTTTGGAAGCACTAGAAAGGATGCCACCACTGAAATGGCATTTTGAATTTGTTTTATGCAACTTGCAGTATTTTTTAAATTAAACATTCCTGTAATTTTGGCATTATCTATGTAATATCTTTAGCTGAGACTCAACACTTCCAAAGCTTGAGACTCACCTATGTAAGATCATTTAAATTATAACATGAACAAGGAGAAGAAAAACAGTAGCAACAGCAGAAGGTGCAAATGCATAACCAATGTATACCACTACAAAATGGTTTTGGAGTAAAAACACTGATCATTATAAGAGAGTAAAATTTAAAATATCCAAACACTTTCTCAGTGACCCTTCCATACCCCTAAGGACTCAGGTTGCACCAGACAAATCCCTGTGACTGGAAATACAAATCCTTCACCATCAACTCTCTCTGGCTGCCAGGACTCCCAGCAGGTTGCTTGAAGTTTCAGGTAAACAGATGAGTGGCGCCTGTTAAAGTATGCAAGACTTAAAAGTTGTTTTAAAAATCTATGTAATAGAAACATTTTTCAATCTTAAAGGTCTTTCTGCATTTTAAGAACTAAGAGGTGGGAGACCTACAGCCTTGGTGATGTATATATATATATATATATATATTTGTGTGTATATGTATATATACTTACATCATACACATACATATATATATGTGTTATATCTATATATATATGTGATGTGTATATATATATATATATATATGTATATATATGGCACCAACAACCTCCACTGAGCAGTTGCTGCCTTGATTTTCTCTGGTCACATGTGCTTTTATGTTATGAAGAATCAATGACACAAACCTCAGACACAATTACAGACCCTGCTTCACCTAAACCTTCAGTTTCTGACTACTTTAGGGGAAGAAATTTTATCCTGGAAGATTGGGAAACTTTACTTTAAGGCTTGTCAAATGATAATATATATTTAATGGATGATTAATACATATTTAATAGATGGCCCTTGGTGACCATAACCTATGGGTTTATTAATTTAAGCAGGGATGAGTAAGTAACATTAAGGTGTGGTTCTTCCTTTATCTTATCACTACACTCGCATGCATGCTTTGTATGGAAAACTTTATTTGATAATAAAAATAGCATTCACAGACTTTCTCCTTCTTTGTTGCTACATCATATACATAGTGTCTGTTCCAAGGAAAGAAGCTCTTACTGGGTAAGTCCACGTCTACTCATCCTAGTGTTATGTATAAACCCAATTAAATCAAATAAAGCTATGAACAATGTAGTATTTATATATGCATAGTGTTTTATAAAAAAGATTGGCCCACATACTGCTTTTCATCAACACAGAAAAGAGCATTTTGCCTATAGCATGTTGCAAGAAATGATGATTGGAGAATATAGACTGCATACAAGTGCTTAATAATACATAAGCAGGCCCACCATGAAGAAAGAAATGATATTTTCAAACCAACAAAAGCTTTAGAATTACTGATACAGTCTCCCATTTTAAAACAGCTTTACATACCTGATTCAGTTTACATTAAAATATATCCCCTGAATCAAATTTTTTCCATTTTTAGAAATATAAACACTTAATCACATTCCTCACACCTAAATTTTGTCATAAATCCTCTTTTATACAAGAAAAAGGCAACAGTTTTGTGGTTTTTTTCCAACAGGCTCTATTAATTACAATTTCAACTGTACACACAATGATTGGCCATCTTCTTTCTTGGTTTTGTTTTTACAGTACCATGGCAACAACAGTGATAGACTTGCAATGGTTTTGTGTTCATATGGAGGATGTGAGTCAGTATACATGTACACACCAATGCACTGGAAAAAGCAGCAGTTTACTTTAGTGGTCCAACAGTAACAGCAAACATTTTGGCTCAGCTAGGCAGTAATCCATTAAATCTTAGACCAATGCTACAGCAGACTTACCACACAGCTTGCAAGTTTAAAAATACAACTTAATACCTTGCAGGTTTCTCTTTTGCTGCTGTTCTTAGACTCAAATTTACAGCGTATAATCAGGTATGGATAGGCTTCCACAATCAGGTTGTCCCACTGATTGCCTCTTTTAGCCTGTGATTTTCTTTTGATACTTTTTTATTTTATTTTTTTGGGTTTTTTTTGTTTTCCCTCCCCAGCAAGTGCACTCCTTTTGTCTCAGTAAGGATGAACCCAATGAAAAACCGACCCTTTCAATACAGAGCAAGAAGAATTGAGAGCTTTTGGAATTTGGCAAAATAAAAGCCCACTGGTTTGGCCTGAGCAGAAGGAATACACCTACTCCGAGCAGGGGGACTGCGCTCCCACCGCATTGCGCCTCGTCCCAGAATCCCAATCCCTCCCCTTGCTTCCAAGCAGATACACAATACCATGCATGCTGGGGGTGCTGTCCATATACAGCTGGGAGATGAGCAGGGCTGCTGCCTTAATGACAGATCATCGTTACATGTTGCTGAGGCTAATGAGAGCTCAACAGTCCACGTTAGCGTGTGACACAGGCATGGTGCTGACCAGTCCTTCTGCCTCTGCGCATCCTGTCCAGGGGGCCTGAAAGTATAAACTGTTCATGGAACAAACTACAAATTACTTATTGTAAATCGTCTTGTGCTGTGTGGGTTTGCTTTTTTTTTTTTTTTTTTAATTATTTATTATTATTATAAATATCCTTCATTGAAACAGTAGTCTCTTCAAACAGTTCTTGCAATTTTAGGAACATTTGTCTCTTTCCTTTTTAATTCCTTCAGCAGGAGCGCTCCATTCCTACTGAGATGAACAATTCTCTTCCTTCCCCACCCCCAACCCTTAAAAAATTTTCTACATACAGTGTAGCAGTGAGTCACTAGAGAACAGTCTGGATCAAATTATTCAAACTTGGTCATAAAATCCTTTGCCTATATTATATTACTGGCTACCCCCACTTACTATATTGGGGAGGAGGGGAAAGTAGCCCAATAAAGGGATTATTTTTAAGAAATCTACAAAGAATGTAGAAACAAAATTTTATAATCCTTTAGGACCAACATTTGGCAAGTAATTAAAAAAAAAGAATACACTGAAAAATACTTTCTTTAATATTATACATCAGGCACAACGCTTTTTTTTTGTTTTGTTTTAAGATTTCATCTGCATAAACGGTTTGTAGGATCAGCAGGTGGTGGACGTCTCGTCGCCTGCAAAAGCCAGGTTGGTTCCACTCTCTCCTCTGCTCCCTTGGTGTGGGGAAGGCGACGGGGACCCCGGGGAGCCCCTCAGATGCTGAGGTCGGTGCTGCACTCCTTGTAGGGCCGCCTGCGCTGCTCGGGCGGGTGCCTGCGGCTGGGCTCGTGCTTCCAGCCAGGCTCTTCCCTCTCCCGGTGGCCAACTCGTTCCTCCCTGAGCCGTCTCTCGGGTGACCTCTCCCTCCGCCGGTCGGACGACTTGGCCCTTCGGTCGAGGGAGCTCTCTCTTCTCCGCTCAGGGGACCTCCTGGGCTCCGTGAGTCTCTCCAGCGACCGCCGCCGCCGGCCGGGCGACCGCTCTCTGCGCCTCTCAGGAGAGAGGTCTCTCCTCCTCTCAAGTCGCTCCCGCCTCTCCAAAGTGTTGTCAGCGCTCCTTGTCCCTTCCCTGCGCTTTTCAGGAGACCTCCTCTTCTGCCCGTTCACCACCGCCCTCTCTGGCTGCCTTTCGTGCCTCCTCTCCGGCGACCTCTCTGTCTTCCTGCCTGGCACGTGGTCGTTGGTTTTAGAAGTCCCATTCCAAGTGTGGTGTTCATTGGGATGTCTGCTAAACTCTCTGCTGCCTTTTAGGTCTCTAACGTAAGTCCGCTTGTCCCCATGTTGTGATGATTTGTGAAGGTCTGGTGGATAACTGGACTCCGATGATGGGTGCTGCCGTCGGTCGGATGGCGCGGGTTTCATTTCCGATACATTTTGTGAACCTGTGGCGGGACTGTTCCTGTCACTGCTGGGGTCTGAAAGAAAATAACAGCAAAGGGTTTGGTATTGATGCCTTCCGTGGTGCTGTGACACCACTTAGCACTCTTCAGACTTCATTAGTGACAAAAACAAACAACTGTTAAAGCAGTCAGCGAAGGCTAACCGAGGCTTTTGTTAATTTAACTGTGAACAACGAGAGTTACAGGTTAGTACTGGTGCTGCTCTGATCGTTAGCCATGTTTTGGTCCAAGCTGATCTCATCTTTATGCTCTTCTGGCCATGGGGCACTTTACATTTCTCCCCAAGCCCAATTCATAATGTTTCAGTTATACTATATTCTTTCCAGTGGAAAAAAAACATTGTAGTTCAGGTTGTTAGCTGCTTTTTTTTAATAGCTTCCAATAAAAAGGGCCTTTAGGAAACAATTTTTGTCTTTTAAGACATTATAAAGAACTGCCTTCCAGGTGTGGGAGGCCTCGGTTCAAATAGCAGAAAATGTACAGAAAATAGAATTGATTATTAAGTTTTCACCTTGTAAAATAACATTTTGAAGGTGTGAGAATTAGACTGTAATCACGCCATTTCCATTTCATTTAAGGCATAGCTTAATCTCACTTAGTTTACCATGTTATGTAAAGTCCTAGGGTAGATTTTGGTTTTGCCACAATGATTCAAACAACGATGACAGTAGTTATGATTTTTTCATATCAAAGCAATGGAAAGATACTGTAATATGTAGGATGGCTTTGATTCAAATCTAATCTCCAGTTCATTATTTTTCATGTACTATTTGAGGTAAAATACAGAGCTGAGCTGCCTCTGCAAGACAAACTGCAAAGCAGAAGTAGAAAAAGAACATCCAAACTAAACCCTAGCCCTTGCTGCAGCTAAGCTACAATTACTCCCGACATTCATAAGGGATGTTTATGAATGATTCATTACAAACATGAAAAACATTAAAGTAGCTGTGCTGCCTTAATGCAAGTGCTGCTTTTATTTGCTTCTTGTTTTCTTTCTTAAAGTAACTCCTTTGTGGCAGCTTGGCTGGCATTAGCCACTTCCTTACTCTTGCACCCCAACACCCACCTTGAGGTGGAACGCCCTGATGGCAATGACTGAAAACCCTCACAAACATTTGTGAGGACAGATTATTTTTTTTCCCCCTCTTTTTCTCCTTTTTGCCTTCCCTCCCACCAAGCCAAACACTCTACATTCCTCCTGCCATCATGCCAACTGTCTCCCATTTGATGGCACTTCCAGTCCTGAGCTTGGGAGGGTCGGTGTGTGCATGGGCTGTGATTTTTGTGAATTCCAAGTGAAACCCATGTTGCAACTCACACGTGGGCAGTTTTGCTCTATGAGCACTTTGAGGCCACAGCTGGGGATGGGACCACGCTGCTTTCCTGTGGCTGTAAGCACATGGCTTGTGGCAACCTGCCTCTCACACAAGGTACAAGCGAGATTCAATCATGTCCTGTGGTGTGTGTACTTACAATTTGGGGGACGCAGGGTGTTCGGGATGAATTGCTGTACATATAGAATATAGCGAAGCAGAAAAGCAATGTGAGGGAATTAGGCCACAGCACAAAAACACCTAATATTGATTTTAGCTACAAACCGTAGTTTGATTATGGCCCATAAGGTAGAAGCAAGACTCCCCGAGCTTGTCATTTCTCATACATGCAGCGATATTAGGAGGTATCATCGCTGAGGAAGGAAGAGCCCAGCACCAAGAAAAGTAAGAGAAAGAGAAAGAGAAAAGTAGAAAATTTAGATTCCCTATAATAAAGATGAAAGAAAGAAAAATCTTCATATTTTATCTTAGAATAAAGAAAGTTTATTTTTCCAGTCAGATTGTCTAGGCTTCACCCAAATATAAGGCTGCAAAGACAGCAGTTGTTATTATTGTGACATAAAGAGACATCTAAGAGGTGATTCAATAACCCAGACAACGAGAGCATCCATTCTAAAAGACAGCTGGAACAGCGACACAGAATGTCATAGAAAAAACAGTAACAATCAAACAACAACGAAAAATAAAGTCCACCAGAGACCACAACATTAAAAATAAGTACAAAACTCATTACAAAAATATACAGCCTCATAGAGAAGCACGTTCCAATCAAGTCAGAAAAATATTGGAACTTAACATTATTAGAGGAACCATTTGCGACTGCAGCGAACAGAACGAAGAGAGAAAGGAGTCCCAAATGTTACAAGGATATTCTTTACAGTAGTGCAACCCCTGTATATTAAATCCTTGCTTGGAGAACGAACGTTTAGTGGTTAGCATTAGCCAAAAGAAAATTGGTGATGGATTTCCATCCTCAGTGCAACAGACATATGCTTTGAGAAGTGAAGCACTTAATTTACAGGGTATTTATGCAGTCTAGCATATGATACAGTACTGTACATCCAAAGGAATATAGGAAAAGACAAAAGTAGAAAGAACATTACAGAATTTCAGTGCCATCATTGAACCTTCTGGTGTGCTATTTATATTACAGAAGTGTAAACCCACAACTTCCCTTCCATATCGTTAAACACTTCAATTGTTTGTTGGTTATACTCTGAATTGGTCATTTTAAGTTAAATAATGAGCAGACTGAGCAGAAACTCTCAAACATAGTACAGTAAATGAAAATAAAATCTAGTTCATAAATTGTGCAGAAGGGTTTTTTTTCTGGTGTTAGGGCATGGAGAGAATGATAAACACAGAACTCACTGACACAGAAATAACCCAAATACAGGGAGGAAAGTATAAAGGACATCCCTTCAATCATCAGTTTCTATAGAAACCTCAAAGACCTTTGGTTGGGAGTAGCCCTCCATCGAGGGCACAATATTTGACAATTATCTCAAATAAATAAGACATAATTATAATATTAAATAGTGTGCTAAGTTAAGCCACCCAGCAATCCAACCTCCAGGGGAAGAAAAGGAAATCTAATGCAATTCTTAGTAAGAAACCAGGACTGACTGTTTCCCCCAAGACAGACATGAGAGCACCTTTTCATAACCTCCTCACCTTTTCAGACCTTACAAATGAACTAGTTGAAACCAGCAGACTGTTTAAGGGGGGAGAAAAGGGCTCAGGAGGCCAAATCAATATATTTTTGCAGTAAAGCTTTTTTTTCCCTTCTTTTTCTCAAATAACTTTATAAATATTTACATAAATATTAAGGAAAGGCAAAAATCTCATAAGCCATCTCAGCATTCATGTCTATGGATACAGACAGGAACTAAGAGAAAAATCTAACCAAAAAAAATAAATCACTGCTTCAGAATAGCAACTCGGGATCCCAGTTTTTGCATTGATTAGAAGAGGAGACCTATGTGAAACAACAATTCAGCCGCTGAGAAACAGTTTGGCACAGTTCAATAACATTCCTTTTTTGGCTGGACAAGACAATAAGGTTTGTTTTGTTTTGCTTTCCTCTCTGATCACCAAAAAATACTGCTATGATGATCTTGCCTTACACTGCGCCCCAAGTCCATGGAAGCAAGCAAAGGATGAAATGTGTAGAAAATTCAGCACAAGCGAGGCAATTATATGTTGCAAAGGTTGGTAAGACACTGGTGAGAAAGGAAAATAAAAAAGAATTCCCGCTTCAGATCTTGAGACAAATATTCATGGAGTGATGCCAGGGAAGAAAGGAATGTTTTCATAGTTTGACCCACCATATTCTGGGACAGAGCCATCTCCACGTTTCAGAAACAGGCGGACCTTGCGGCCACCATTTTTAATCAGTTCGATGGCCCGAGCGTGCTTCATGTTCTTGGTAGTTTCTCCATTGATCTCTAAGATTTCATCACCAATCTGCCAATGTAATAAAGAGATTATGATTAGAAACAAGTCTCCAAGAGGGTCCCTACCAGCACACCACAAGACAGTGGCCATAGCAAAGCTGGAACAACTATGCATCAGGTGAAGCTAAACATGCCCAACTCCTTCCAGTGAGTGCCCATTGTGTAGGAGTCTGGGAGACATGAAGATGACGAGAAAGCTTGAGGTATCAAAATATTTCACTGCTGTTCTGAAAATCACTTTGCAATTACTGTATTGCTCAATAGTAAGTGCAGTGTTAGAACTGGTGCTATTTTATTTAATTTTGATAATTTGTAAAGTCTTCAGTCAAAGTGGTTGCTTGTTTCACAGTCTGCTCCAACTGGGATGTTCACAGAGCTTTTTCAGGTCTGTTTCTAACTTGGATATAGTTTGATATAGATATATAACTTGGATATAGATACCTACTATGAATCAGGAAATCTGATTTTGCAAATACAATAATTTATCAGGAGAAGAAAACAGGGCATGGAAGAGCATGTCAAAGCATTGAATTCCACAGGGCAGCACTGATTTTGCATCATATTTTCATCAGCAAAATTTTGAACCCATAGATTTACCCCTAGCACAAGAATTTTGAAAATACCCTTCACATGCCATATCTGGAGACAATTACATATGTGGGAAAGTTATAATGCATTCTTTAACAAAGGTCCAAGGACTACATAAAACCTGTCAAATTATTTCTCCAGTAGGCATTTTATAACATATGCCCTTGTTATATAATGTTTGTCATTTAGCTGATATGTGAGGTTAACAATTAATGTTAATCAGAACCTACATTGTAATTTTTTATCCCCTGGGCCATAGACATGTTCTGTCCCCTCTCTGCCCACTAGCAGGCAAAGACTGTGGCTGTTCCATTTTCGCTGCTACAAGTGCCCTTAGGCATTAAACAACAGATCGTGTACTACAGTTTGGAAAGCAGTGTTGGAAGAAGGGGGTGAAATCTTCCACTGAACACACACTGCTATAGACAGTGCACCAAGAGTGACAGATGCCATCAGCAGCAGTAAATAGAAACCACTTTCAGATCACATTTAATTTCCCTCTTAAGCTGAAAGAGCAGGAGGGAGAGGCAGAGAAGTCAGCTTATTCCAGAGCAAGGTGGCTTTAAGGCCAGTTTGTGCATACCCTCATTTTCCCACATCTCTCAGCAGGCCCGTCCTCAGCGAGCCGCAGCACGTACAGGTCCATGTTGTACTCCCGGCCACCTCGCAGGCTGAAGCCAAACCCTTTGGCTCCTCTTTCCAGCTCAACAGTGTAAAAGTCTTGGTCCTGCTGGAGAGAAGACGGCAAACGCCCAATTGAACAGAAAGTCAAATACTGCTCCGCGCTCATGTTGGAATTGTTCAAGCAATGCTTCGTTGGTAATCATTAAAAAATGGAAAATCAGTTGAATTTTCACATGCAGACCAGGATTTGCTGCTTCCTCAGACCTCACTCTGCAATTTGGACTTCTGGTGGTTGGTGAAGGGCTGTTGGAATAAGTGGTTTGGCTATGTCCTGTGGTGCATTTTTGGGCACCCCTGTTACATAGCACCACCAGAGCAGGAGGGGACATTTTAGGAAGGTGATTAAAGGTTCTACCAACCTTTAAAGGCAAGGACAACCTCCCTTTCAGTGCCAGCTTTAGTGCAGTGTCTAATGGCACCTGGGGTGAGCCTGTGCCATGGTGCTGGCTTTTTGTATAGTTACCACATCATTTATTCCTTTGCAAGAAGCTCAGAAGCCTTTGCATTGTTTTCCTCAAATGCTATTATGGGGATGTTTTGAAGTCCCTAATGGAAGATGTTACTTCTGGGATGGCCAGTGACAAGGAAAGTTAACAGTGAGATAGATAATCTTTCTAATAAGATGCCGTCTGTGCGAGCTGGAGCACTCCAGCTATCGCCCCTTACTAAGTTTTCCTCTTTTTTATTCTCTGAATTTATCATTTGCACACAACAATAGTTTCTGGAGAGGCCCCTCACAACAGACAATTCAATAAACAAACACAAAAATTATTACTGCCCTAAAAATGTCAGCTCTTTTTTTCTTTATTTTTACTCCCTCAAAAGTCTTGATGAGAACGTGTTGGAAATGTTTCTCAGCTGAAACAACAGCAACACATATTAAGAAACTAATCAGCAAATTCCTCTTTCTTTTCAGCAGACTAAGGGAGAGCAGCTTCTCAGTAGGAATTTTCAAGGGAACTATTTAAACACAGCCCTCAAGCAGATTGGAAACAACAGTCAGTGGTAAGCAAAACAATTAGAGAGATACTCCTTACCTGTGCTGCTTGGGGTGGTTTGAAATCAAACTGGGATTCCTGCTTTGGTTTGGTGTTGTTCCTGCTGCAATGAATGAGAGGGAGAGAGGAAAAATACAGCTCATGGGACGTGAAAGTGATGAAGAAGTAACTGAAGAGAGAGCATGTCGAGATGCCCTCCTCAAGGAAAACAATCTGACCTGGTCTCCTGTGGTATTTGCTGAGGAGTATGTGTGGTTGTGATTGTAGCAATTTTTTCTGCATTGGTCAATAAAGTAGCATTGGAGGATTCTGCAAAATAGATTTTGTTTATATTATGAGGGAAGACCATGGGCTATTCACTGAAAGAAAAAAAGAGTATGGCAAAAGCATTTCACAGAAAAGCAACATTACATTGTTTTTATAGAACTGGAAATGGGATCAAATTTCTTAATTCCCCAAATTAATATAATAAGTATGTATATGAAACTGTACACTCAACTGGAAAATGAAAAAAAAATTACATTAGGACATCTGGATTGGAACCCCCCCAGACCATTAGACACATTCATGAAGACTCACTTGTAGATGAAGGATTGAACAAAGTTTTGTCTATTGTCTAAAGACATGAATTCCAACCAATTAAGTCTCTAAATATTGTAGGTTGGGTGGATTAATTTTACAGTATCTATAACTATTCCAGGGATTATAAATTTATCAGTCCTTCTTCCATCAGAAACTGCATTCTCCAGTAGAATTGAGATGTGGCTCTTATCCAATACCTCACAAGATGATACTGAATGTGGCTAAAACCCAAATTTACTGAAATCGTACTCTGAAATACAACCCACTACTGCCTCAGCAATGAAAGCAGGAACATGGAGCCACCAGTACCAAATGCATCAATAACTCTGGGTAACACAAAAGGGTGCACTGAGAGAATACAGGGAGCAGGAGCAACTTCTAAGCTTAATTTCTGCCATGGTAAAGGGCTCTCAGCCCAGCACCAGCCTGTGCAAATTGCAGATTTCTTTAGGCATGGAAGGATGGGCTCCAAGGAGAGGTCCTGTCTCCTGCTTCCCAAAACTGAGATGACTAAAAGTGACTATGTAGGTGTCCCTCACAGTATGGCAGGGCAGAATATTTCCCTTGTCATTCTGCAGCTGCATCAGACTTCAGCAGGACCAGAGTTAACCCCAAACTCACTTAAAATTCTGCCTAAACTTAAGGTCATGTCAATCCCATTAGCTGAATATAGCAACACAGACCCAGAATTCTTCTGTATTGAACTCAACAGATTTTCCAGAACTATATATTGTACCAATTCTGAACTGATGTTAGTACTGAAGATGCTTTCAAATGCTGAATTGCTCCAGAAGCCAGCAGTTTCTGAAAACACCCCTCCTTTCCTGTGGGAGTTTGACTTCAGAAGAAGTCTCAGTGGTACTCCATGTACCTTGATGGTGCTTAACCACACAAAATGCTCAACAGTTATGTTGGTTGCACTTGGAGAATGATGGGCAGGGTCAGCAGAAACAGCCACTCATCAGACATGGCACTCCCAGCTAAAGCCACTGCAGTGGCAGGCAGCTGCTCCTTTGCAGAACAGCTCTTTGTGTCACAGGAGAACCCCTCTTTGTGTCTACACCCACTGTACCCAGGAGAGAGCCACACATTGCAAGTACCTACAAAATAATGAGCATGAACCACCTTTCAAGACAAAAATCTAAACTGAATACACAGCCACTAAGACAGCAGTGACAAAAACTGGATAAAAACATCTGGGTCTCCAACATAAAATTACAAGGTCTTCTACCCTGCCCTTGTTTGCCTCTCAAGCTACAGGCATACACTAATTCATCTCACAGGCTATGGAGAAATCTGCCATTATTAAACAGAGTCCAGCTATAATACAAAATTGCAGCAATGGGAGGGTTTTTGTCTGAATTAAGATGTTGTGGATCCTGGGAGTTTAACTTCATTTCCTTCATGGATTGATATTAATTCTGGAGAAGTCTAGATAAGGGGAAGCTTCTTCCTCTCTGTAGCTATTTGCATGTCAAGGGAAATTCAGGAAAAGGGACAAAGAAAAAGAAGAACCACTTAAACAGATGGGTGCAACAAGAACACAGCTCCTTTGCCTGCAGTGCTGTGCCCAAGTTAACATGCTGAAACCCTCAGCATATGGAGCTGAAACATCTTCCAGACCAGAGCTGGCTTGTGTCCAGCAGCTCAGAGAGCAAGAGAGGCTCCTGGGTCTGCCTGCACCTCTCAGTGTAGGCATGACCAAACCACACCCTTGTGATGATGTGCCACTCACAGCTGGCTTGTGTCAGAAGATGTCCCTACATGTAGCTACACTGTTGGGGTTTAAGAAATAATTCTGTTTATTTTGTAAAGATGACTTGATGTTAAAATCTGTCTCCTGCATAAGAAAGCCTCAAAACATGGTTAAGTTTTCTGTATTCATGCAGAACAAAAGCCTCTGAAATCTTCCACAAATATTTGGAGATCAGATGATGATGGGCTTCAAAGAGAATGCAAGATTCCTACCCTTTAGTAGGTCACACTAATAATACCAAGCAGAGCAACAACACATCTCTGGTACAGATGTATCTTCACACCACTGTACTGCATCTATCTTTAGCCCACCCTCTCCCATGAGTCAGGAGTTGTGCATAATTTTGCCAGTGTTTTAGACACTGCTTCAGGACACATGCCAGCCACCATGCAAAACTGGAACAGAATATAGCAAAAATTATCTTTAGTACAATTATAATTGCGTGTTCTAAACCCTACACATCTCATTGATTCCTTGCCCTGCTCTGTCCTAAAACTCTCTGTCACCAATTACATGCCTAATCTAAGCTTGTCCTGTTCCAGCATTCTGTATCCTTGAATCTGCTGGAAGTGTGGTAAAGCATCATCATTTCATTGCAAATACAATCCTGCAGTCATCTGCGCCAATTAACTTGTGCAAGACTTATTACAAAGCAAAAACCCTTGGTGTGTTTAATAATGTTAGAAGAGATTAGCAGTGTGAGTTTATTGTGAGTCTTGTGATGCACCTCAGTTTCATGTTTATCTGACAACTGGCTTCTGATTTGTGCTCCCCCCTCCTTGCAGCACACAGGCCATTTATATTTGCCAAAAAAGCACTCAAAAGAAACAAAAGAAAACAACAAATCAAGAAAAGCATACAAAGACATCAAAAAGGAAACAACACTGAGACAGATTTCTTGTATCTCATGGGGTTTTAGAGCAAAACCCTCAGAGATTTTGAGAGTGTTGGGTCTTACTGTCTTTTGGAAAATAAATGCAGGTAATACTATGCAAAGTTGGCAATCTGACTTGGAATTTCAAAGTGACAGTAAATAAAAAGACTTAAAGCCTGAATTGCTATGAAAGCAGAGTTGATTCCTTCCCCAAAGAACAGCTTTCCATCTCCTCCAGGAATACGTGATGTCAATCACAGGTACATGTTTCCCTAACCTAAGCAATTTACATGATATTTGGGACACATCATTGCATGAGCAAGCCTGGCTCAGCATTTATGTCAGGAGGTTATATTCTTAAAACTTCTTAAATCATTTAGAAGTTGCTTAGTTCTCAGATGGTTTTTCTTTTTTAGAAAATAAGCACTTTATTTACTTAAAGATTCACCTCCCTTTTTATCAGAGACTAAAATACAGGTAATGAACAATTCTTCTCTCAGTTTATCTTCCAAAACAGGCATGCACAGGCCAGCTCAGATGTTAGCTGGATTCACAGCCATTTTATTATTCATGAACACCCTATTTCCTCCAAGCAGCAGAGGATTATATAGCATTTGACCTGGTACCCACTAGACAGAAGGAAAATAAAGCTTTTGTGCAAAACAGATCACCCTAAGCAGAAATAATTTATAACCAGATCATTTCTCATCCTGGTCTGTGGGGAGCAATGTGGAAAGGTTTCTGCCCAATGAGTTCTCACTTTGAACCCATCCATGGCAGAGAAGCACAATAAACAAAGAAAATACTCAGAATTTAGAACCACAGAAATTTTAGTTCTGCTGCAGATACTTTAACAGGTTTCTGATCAGTTCCTATCTGGGGATTAATTTAATGGAACTGATACATAACACAGATCCTTATTTTTATTAAATACTTCAGTGACCTTAATTCACCACCAAGTGTCAACTTATTATTAGGGAATCTGCACATTCCCTCTCATCTGAAACAGTGAGATCCTGTCTAGGGTAACTCTTAAAATGCAACTTCAGAACCCTCCTCATTTAAGCAGTCATTTAAAAATGTAGTGAGCTCGCTCCCAGAGCAACTTACCCAGAATAAAAGCAAATCTGCTTTTGAAACAGCTTAAAACATGTCAAAGTGTTTATATCTTTCTGTGATCTCCTTACTCTATAGCCTGCTTGTGTCCATACAAAGCTTCAGGAATCACACATCCTAACAAGTGATTCCCAAATATTCTAAAGCTGTATTACTAAGCTAAGAATCAAGCTAAAGTGTATCAAGAGATCCATCAAATTTATGGAAGATCATTTTAAGCGGATGCATGGAACACAAAATTCTTTTTTTTAATGTTGAATTAGCACCTCCCTGTTAAAAACCAACCACCTCTACAAAAAGAAACAAAAAATAAATCTACGGGAGACTCACAACCTCCCTCAGCGCTAACTCCCAAAGTGGGAGCGGAAACCGACCCCTCCACGGCTCTGCAGCTCCACGTGACAGAAAAATCCCGGGGAACAGAACCAAGAAGAGGGCGAGGCAAGAGAGCAGGAAACAGATACGTTACCATCTCCTGGAATGATGCGCAGGGTGACGGTGTTTCCCGCTTCCTTAATGAGGTTGACGATGTCTGAGTGCGACTTGTTGGTGATGGAGCACCCATTGACGGCCAAGATCCGGTCGCCGACTTTCAGCTTCCCGCAGCGGTCGGCGGGGCTCCCTTCAATTATCCGACCTATTTTGTGAGGCATGGCCACACATGCATTTCCCGCTTTTGTATCGGTTTGGGGGTTGTTTTGTTTGGTTTTGGTTTGGTTTTGGTTTTTTTTTTTTATTGTTTACGTATGTGGGAATATGGTGAAGGGGAAAAGGAAAAAAAGGGTTGAAAAGGGAAAGAGAAGGTTAAGGGTTAATTAATTAATGCATCAAGCAAAAGTTATTATAGGATAGCTTTGCTGCCAGTGTTCAAAACATTGGCAATCAACTAGTTGAGTGCACAACACTTTACTTCTTCCACAAAAAGTGTTTTGTTAATCCCTCAAAATTCCCCCCGAGTGGATTTCTGTTAATAAATGGTGCAATTTTTATTGACTACAACTGCACTTAGCAGCTCCATCATAACCCAAATCTGATTTTGTTTTTGAAGAAAAAAATTGAAACCGTTTATAGAAGACTCAACTTTCCTCCTCCAATATTACATCAGTGTCAGCCTCTCCAGTCCTTCTCTAAGCCAACTGCTTTTCAAGCTTCTGCCAATGTTTTGTTCTTTCTCAATTTAGAAAGATAAAATCATTCTAGGCCTAGGAGGGAGTGTGGTTCCCTATCTACCACACAGACCCACTCTACCAGCGCTGCATGGGGAAGCAACATGAAACATTTTCTTTCCATTGTGAATAAAGGTACTACCAGGGAAGGCGCAGGACCACTACAGATGGGCCAAGACTGACAAAGGTAACCTGTTTGGTGCTGGCACCCACCTCAGCCTCTACTAACCCTTCCTCTTTTATGATCTTAGATGGCACCAGGTAGGAACAAAGAAGGAATAAGGTTCTCCTCATTAAAATACCTCTAAAACCACACACAAAACCATTGAGATGTCTGACACACAGAGCGAGAGCACTTTAGGATGAATGTGTTCTGGAGACAAAATTCTCCTCCTGTTCCATGCAGTTGTTCTGTTTCTAAAACACTGGGTTGTTCATAACATGCAGAATTGGGACACAGGGGATATACAACATCACTCAGACAAATCCAATGAGCTTTTCTACAGCTCCTTTACGTGGGCAAGAGGCCTTGGGGCACACAGCACTGGTCATCTCACACTTTGCATCCACAATACATTCACCCTCAAGATGCACTTTCCCATCTCTGCTGTAGTCTTCATTTGATTAGTAGTTTTAGAGATACACACACGACAACACTAGAAAGACCATAAAGAAGAAAAGGCTAAGACAAGGATATGTGAGGTTGGAAAGATGCAATGAAAACTGGCAGAAAGTGTTATATTAGTTATATTAGTTACAAACATTAGGGAGATTTCTTTTTTTATTTTGTCTTTAATTTTACCATGATGTTAGAAAGTTTCTCTTTCTGGTAATACAAAGCCCCATCTAGTTTGCAGTTTATCCTGTTTTGAGGATGTGAGTTTCTACTCTATCCAATCCACTAAAAACAGATGAAAGAGCCCACACCAAAGTGACCAAGGTGGGTATTAGAACCAGTTTGGCCCATCTCTAAATACTACCCATGAAAGAAAAAAACTACAAAGCAGGTCCAGAGCAAGCACCAGACAGCAGAGGGAACACATCTCATGCGGAGTGTTAGGAAAAAACTGAATATACTTGAAAAAATTAAAGGAAAAACAGTCACAGATCAACAGATCTCCTTGGGAGCCCCTGCACAGAAAACTTCCAGTTAGCAAGAATTTTGGGCTAAAGCAAACACAACTTTTAACAACCTCAGGTCAAGGTTTCTCTGCAGAGAAGAATTACAGCATAATCTTCATACAGTAAAAGTTATTTACACATATTTGCAAATCTGTTCAGAAGATAAAAGCACACCCTCTGTTCTAGACTGTGTTCAGTTTGATCTTTTTTACATTACACCATTGTGTGCTGGCACCAAAACACCTATCTTGAAAGAGCAGTTTCCAGCAGCAAGGACAGTGTGAGAGAGCCTAGAATCTGAGAACTGACAGAACTCAGTGCACTAGTTTTGTGCTACATAATTCCCCCTTGAAATCTCTGCTGCCAGACTTCCCAGAACAGAGCTAGAAACGGCCCGTTCTACATCAATACCAGCAAAGGTGCTGATGTATTACTAAGGGTGTCGCTGATGGGCAGTGGCAAGAAATGTCAGAAAATAAAGCCTGGGAGAATGAGGGAAAGGCAATTTCTTGCACCTGCGTGCCCCAGAAGCACTCAAGCTGCACAGGGAGTCTGCAATGCATTTTCTCTGCAAACCACAGCACTGCTGTGGGAGGTGCTGTGCAGATGGACAGTGCTCTGTCCTTCATTTCCCTCCACCCCTAACACAGACTAAGGGAACACCTTCCTTCACAAAGTACAAATGGATGCCACCTCTGGCCTCCTTTTGGAGGAGATGGAAAGGGAAGAAAATAGCATCTCTGACTGTTTCCTCCTTGCAATGTCACTTCTGCTTGAGAACAGGCTGTTCTGGGCATATTTGCAAAACCAGCGTATGTACATCTCCTCTGCAGCAACTCCTGGAAATGGGTATCTGCCCAGCAGAAAGACTGTCTTGAGACAGAAACCATGGCCACCTTTATTAAGTCAGGATATTACGTGTGACATAGCTTAAACTTAATTTCTTCCTACTCTGAAGAAATGCATTTGGGTAGAGGTCAAATGGGTAAAAGAAACATCCTGTTCTTTTAACAGTATTCCCCATTTTATGTCTCACCAGGAAGCAGTATTAATTAAAACTTTCCAGCTACCGGCATGCTCACAACATAATGATGATCAGAATAACCCTGATTGCCAAAGAGAAGTTAATCAGTTTAAGCATTACTGCTTTTAAATCAACTGGCTTGATTCCACCATCACGAGACATATTTCATTCTACCTGCTACATTTCTGCACTGGCAAACAGCATCACTGGGAGGATCCCCAGAGAGCAAACCCCAGAGAGGCTCTCCTAGAAAGTGAGCATCAGGAATTGCATTGGTGACATTTTAGCTCTTCAAGTTGGGATGTCATTTCACTTTTCCCAACTCAGTGCCGAACAACACCCAGGAGGCAACACCTACCGAATTTTTACCTCTGATTTTGCTATTAACTACATAAATCGGGGCATGCCCATGACTTTTAACCAAACAGATCCCCACCCGCCTCCTCGGGCCGCAAGCTTCGCCTCTCACCAGAGGTGAAGCCAAAAACCCACGGGACTCACCGAACGTCGTCCCTGCCTCGGGCCTGCTGACGGAGGAGACGATGACGAAGCCGAAGCCCTCGTTCTCGCCACGGCGGATCTCCACGTCGTAGGGCTGCACCACGGCGCTGACCACGCCGCTGCCGCCGCCGCCGCCGCTGCCGATGCCGCTGGTGCTGCCGCTGCCCGAGCTGACCGTGTTGAGCGAGTTCTGGCTGCCCTGCGGCGTCCGCTTCTCCTCCGTCAGCGAGGCCGGCTGGTTGCTGCTGTGGTGGGAGGAGGCCGGGGATGGGACTTCATTCTCTGCCTTGGGAACTGGGGAGGGGAGGAGAAAGAGTGTTCGAGCAGGCTGCACCAGTGATGGGGGTAGGATGGGCAGGACAGATGGAGATGAGAGATCTCTGAACGCGGGTCTTGGAACTTGGGGTTTATTGCAAAGGGCCTGGGTGCAGGGCCCTGCTGGGAGCTGCCAGCCACAGCTCGGAGCAGGCCCAAGAGAAGTAAAGAGAGTGGTAAAGAGAAAGAGAGAGAGAGGATGAGAAGATAAGAGAGCGAGGTTCCCATTACAATACAATAAATCTTCTTCTGTGTTGAATATTCTAACTCTCACTAACCAATCTAATACAAAATACAAATCTTATAGCATTTACATACGGCCTATAAGGATCATTACATTGCCATACTGTGTTACATTTTAAACTCTAAAAACTACTCTTTGGACTCTTTCTGCTAAGCTAGTAAGGTCTGCTCTGAGCCTTGCACCATTCTGCAAGCAGAGAGTATTGTTTCATCAAAAGGGGATTACTTTCAGCTAGCCACACCACTGTTTTCTCATCATTCAGTAACTAAAGTATCTCAAAGCTTGCTTTCATTTCAATCTCGCTTATAGTTTCTATATTCTCAAAATATTTTGCCAGGCAATCATATTTATAGGGCTTTCCTGTTTCATCTTCCCCAACACACCATTTAGTGCTGAGAGGAATAGAGGATTTGTCTTTACAAACAAGCTGTGGGTCTGCTGGTAGATAAAACTATGACTGGGAGATAAAAGAAACAATGGGAAGGGTTCCACTGATTGATGAATGGAAAAAGATATTTGCTTTTACAAGTAAACTTTAGGTTTGCTGATAAATGAAATTAGACATTGAAAGATGAAAGAAACAATGGGGAAGAAAAATCCTTAAATTCAGTAAGAATTAAAAATTAAAAGGGAGGGTTATACATTAGGGGGAAATCTTTGGGATCAGGTGTATCGGGAAGTCTGAACCTCCCAAGTACCTCAGCCAATGGGGAAAGAGAGAAGAGAAATGTGGCCAGGAAATTGGGATAAAAAGGGAGGCTGCATCCTCCAAAAATTGGAGAGATCCCAGGAGAATGCCTCATGGCCTCTCTCTTTATTCGAATAAAGTAAAAGGACTCCTCTGTCTCCTTTTTGTACATAAACCTCTGATGTTTGTGGATTAATTTTCCTAACAGTGCTTGGAGAGAGGTGTCTACTGAGAAAAGGGTAAATGAAAATCACCTGCTTTAGTCTGTCCATCTATGGCCATGCTTTCAATGGCTCTGCTCGGTGGTGGCACTGCCCACACTGCTCACGCTCTCCTGTGTGTGCTCATTCAGCCAAAGCCATCCACTGCCAAACTGCAGCCTGGTTAAACCAGTGCAGTGCTGCCTGCTTGGATGCTCTGTGGCATTTTAAACATGGATTACATCAGTTCAAAGGTGCCTCCTCCAGCTATTGCACCCCCACCTCCGTTATATATGTACAACCATATGTATGGTGCACATATATATGTACAAGCCAGAAGGAGAGGCAGTAATATCTCACAACACCACCTTCTGTGTAGTTTTAAACTGAAAGCTATCAATTAGTGCACTGATTGCCTTTGATTAATGGGATCTTTAGTAATAACAATCTCTCAACATGAGCAAAACAACTTGTGAACGAAGCATTTCTGGATGGAAGAACCAGCAACTATCATCTGTACAGTCTGGTACAGACATTAAACATTGTTAACGTTAATATTAAACAAGTGTTTAACAGCAACTGAAGTTGGAAGGAGTATTAGTTTAAAATCTAATCAGCTACCACAAGCTTGAAGAAATCTCAAAAAAATTGGTTAGCTCAGACTCTGCTCAAGTGAGGGCCAACTATACCTAATATCAGTCCTGACAGATGTTTGTCTAATCAGCTGTTAAATATCTCCCCAGGCAATCTATTGGTTGCAATATCTGACTTAAATCTTCCCTGCTGCTACATAAGGCTATTATTTCTAGTGCTATCTAACAGGCATATGGAGAACATATTATTCCCTTCCTCTTTGCAGCAGCCTCTTATAGTCTTGGGAAGTTTAATACCTCCTCCCCCTCCTCTGCTTTAAGCTAAAGAATCCAAATTTGTTCAATATTTCCTCTCAGACCATGTTTTCTAGAGCTCTCCTTATTTTCCCTGGTCTTCTGGACTCCTTCCAGTTGGGCTCTCTCCAATTCAAATACGTCTTTCTTGAAGTGCTGGACCATATTGCACTAAGCCATCATCTGCTGGGAAATCAGGAGAGTTTCCCCCTGCCTACATCCCTGCACAGTCTTTTTCTTCACCTGAGCCAACCTCAGCAAAAAGCTCGTGGCCCACAACAGCTTCCACTTCTTGTTACTCAGCCTGTTCTCCACAGCCCATTTGTGCAGCTGAGAGCAGCATATTGCACTTGTCCTTGCTGAATGGCTGCCTCTGCTAATCAGGTCACTTCTCCAATTTGGTGAATCAAAATTAAGTTGAAGATCTTAAAAGCATCAGCATGAAAATGGATGGCAAACAAAATCTAAACCTGTAATTTCATGATGCAAAAAAAAGAAAAAAGGACTTTAAAATATCCTTGGATAGAAGTCCTGTCTGCACTTATATACTCAAAAGTATGTACTAAATACATAGCATTCTTCATATTAAGATTACAGGAGCATAAAATTTCCCCTACATGGATCTCAGGACAGAGAGTACTCATTTAGGCGAACAATCTTTTTCTACTGGCATACAGATGACAGGAGGAGCAAGGGACCAAAATTCAGGAACAGCCTTCTCCACAAAGTTCTGCTGAAATTTAAAAGCCTGTAAATATAAGGTGAAAGAAGGGATTCTGAATAATTTATCCTAGAGTAAGTGTCCACATTTGCAATGATTCAGAAATAGCTAGATCTGCAGTAACATGCCTCTGAATGAAATATCAAGAGAGATCTCATGCATCTAAATCTTTCATGGTAATTTCCAGCCTGGAGGCTGTAAAACTGCATAGAAAATCTACACACAAATACAATACCAAATTCAGCTGCCCTTCCCCTTCCTCCCAATGCTCTTCTAAAGCTTCTCTCACACCAGACCTTGGTCAGGAATTAAAGACAGGCTGTCAGAGGAGAGACATAACCTAGTGTTTATCCACACTGGGAAGAAAGAAAGAAATGAGAAGTGAATGCTCATTTATTATTGTGCAGAAGGAGCTCAGGCCTGGATAAGAACACAAAGCTATTTCAGAGGTATTCTTCTAGTCCTAACTTCCACTGAGGACCTAATTTCCAACCTGAATGTTATTTTGATTCTCTCTGAGATCAAAGTACATCACTGCCTGTTTATCTGATGATGCCTAAACTTGAAAAGCTATATAATATCCTTTTCTTTGAGTGAGTAAAAGCAAATCCCACATCTGAGTTCCTAAAGGGACTCAAAGGGACAGGCAGCACTCAAAAGTTACTATCCAGTATTAAACATATGGCTACATGTTATTTAGAAAGTTCATGCTCATGTCTTCATTTTCTCTGCTATCATGACATTTTTCAATCACTTATCTGGGTGCCAAAATGGTACCAGGCAGTGTCACTTCTCTTTGCATCTTTGTTTTTCTGCCGGCTTCTTTTCTGTTCATTTAGATCCTACACTTGTGCAGTGTGTGCACAATGCTCAGCGTAACTCAGCATACAGAAAACTCTCTAGACCTGTGCAACCTGGTCTAGTGGAAGGTGTCTCTGCCCATGGCAGAAGGGTTGGAAAAGGATGATATCTAAGGTCCCTTTCAGCCCAAACCATTCTATGATTCTGTGACAACAAACATGCACGCCCTGGCCCACCAGAACCAACAATGTTTTGCAGTTTCCCATCCTGAGGTCACTTTACTACATGCTGAAGCTTGCCCTGAGCCTGAGGCAGCAGCCACCACCACACACCAGAGCCCTCACTCACACTCTGCCCTTGCCTCCCCTTCTCTGGACTTTTCATCACCTTTTCCCTCACTCCCAGTTTAAGGGTGACTATCAGGCTGCACATTTATTTTGGGAAGTATACAGAAAACACAAGCAGCTGGCCACAGTGTCTGCTGCATGAGTGTACACTGCAACCAAACAGTTCCCCATTTTATCAGATACCTTATGAACACTGGGAAAGCCAACTAAGAGAGTCTTGATGGGAAAAAAAATATTGAAACTTATTTGGTCAGGAACAAAAAAGACTAAAAACAGGCAAAAGAGGAAAAATAACAATCCATCCCTTGAGTTTTCTCAGCACTAGAAGAAGCTTTTTTTTCCCCCTTAGGCCATTTGCTGAACAGATGGGATCCTGGCAAGAAAAGCCACCCCTGCGGGGTGATACTGCAGCCTACCTGTGTAAACCACTTTGCGCCTGACGGTCAGGTTGACGTGGCCTTGTTTGGCTGCCTGCTGCATGAGCTGGACCACGAGCTGGTGAGATTTGCCCACCACAGGCGTCCCATCCACGCAGATCAGCTCATCGCCCGATCGCAGGCGGCCGTCGGCGTCAGCAGCACCCAGCGGTACAATGTGACCGATGTAAATCTGAGGAATTGGCACAGCAGGAGAGACAGCCATGAGAACCAGCTCAACAGCCAGCTGCAAGCAAGGGGCACTCCTAGCAGGACCTGATTTAGGAGGGACATGAAATTGTTGACAAATGTCTGCTGGTCGGGGAAGTTGTTTCTGTGAAAGCGGTTCCGCGTGAATACAGCACATTGTGAGATTGTAATAAATTGACATCTTGTTTCTTTAGGCAGTCCATTCACTCTAAGGACAGACAGCCTTAGGAAACTTCTTCAACCAGACAGTGACCAGACAGGAAGATGGTTAATAGCACTGAGGGTCTTGTCAGGGAAGCTGAGATTGAGTTACCCTTTCAGTTGCCTGCAGGGTTTACAAGCTCTGCACCACACGCTTGTCCTCCAACTCAGTCTTGGTTTATCTTCAGTGAGTTCTGTGGAGTTACTCTAACACGAGATGAATTTGTTGGTCTCTCTTCCCATAAATGAGCAAAATAATTTTGGCAGGGAAAAACATGGAAAGTCATGCTGCCACTATCTAGCTGTGACCTGTGCAGCGCAGGAAAGGATGACACCTCCCACAGGCACTGGATTTATGGTAAATAAATTAACTGAATTCAAGGAGAGAACTGAGAATTCTAAGATCAAAATACTTGCAAACATGACCAGGACATCCTGTCCTCAGCGTCCAAGGACCTATGTGTTTTTATTTGGTTTATCATTAAAGTAGAAGGAGAAGCCAAACCCATTTCGGTCATGGAGTTCTGGGGTTATTTTGGAGGGAGGGTGAGGAGATGCAGGATATATATATGTATATATATATATATATATATATATATATATATATATATATATATATATAGTCCAGTAACTATTTAGCAGTGATACTACAGCATAGTTCTGCACAGCTGTACATTCTACTGCTGTGTTTCTGAAAGATGCCACAAACTAAAACTTGATACTCACAGGTTCTCCAGGCTCATTTCCACCTAGAATCCTAAATCCAAACCCAGTTTCCTTTCTCCATAGAAAGATATCCTGCTCTTGATAATCTGGAACTGAAGGGAAAGAAGAAAAACTATCATTTTTAATCGAAATATCACACCTTTTTACCCAAATCAGGACTACTCAGACGTACATAAAAGGATGTGCCATGCAATTTTAACATTTAAATGAGATGAGCTTGGAGACCACCTCCCTTTTACATAAAAAAAGGAGACATAACTATCAACATTTATAGTTTTAAATACTAAGGATTATTACTTACATTACCATTAAAAGTTATGTAGTGGTTTCTACTTTCTAGGCATCTACTTGTGAGTTTATCACTATAATATTTCCTTCTGTCAATATTAGCATCATTACCCATTGCAAGAGTCTCTTCCAAACCATCAATAAATAAATGTGTACAGCAGAGAATTACTCTGCCAGAAACAATACAGCTGCCTCTTCTTACATGGGAGACAGAAGAGCCACTTGTTATGACTTCTACTATTTAATTAACTTTCCCAAGCATAGTTTGCTATCTGTCAACCAACTCTGCTTTAAATAACTGTGGGACAGATCCCTAGTTGGTGTAAATCAGAAGGGCTCCACTCAAAACAGTGCAGCTCTCCTGACTCTCACTTGTTCGTGTGCAGGCTCTGCAAAAGCACTGAAGAGATAAAACCAGCTGGAAACATAAAAAAAGCCCAACCTTGCCTACTCATTAGTATGGAACACCAGCAAGGTTTTTACAATGAATATTACATACATTACATAACCTTGAAGCGCTGTTGAACAGCAATGTTTTATATTAACTTACTCATGCTTGCTTTCATCCCTTTTTTAAAAATGCATAACTAATTGCTAACATTATATCATATCAGAAGGCAACTTCAGGTTCATTTAATATTTATTGGATAGTATCTGTAGCATTGACTAATTTTGTAATGATCCCCTCCCAAAATTTATAATTAATGATAATAAAAAGCTGTTGCTTTACCAGTCAGCTGCCTATAATTTCAGCAAAGAAACCAAAGTATATTGTTCAGGAATCCAATTTAAAAAAGTGCCTCCTCAGACACAGGATGCAGCACATTTAATGACACATCATGTAGCTTTCTCTATCTATGAACAGGTTGTTTTCCATTGGCATCAGTGAATGTCAGATTGGGCCCTAATTGGATTTTACACTGTCTGTGCTTATTCTGCAAAAAGTTGGGTCTGCTCTGGTGCTTGTCAGACTTTTGGTTACCTCTGAAGGTCTCTCTTCAATGAGTTAAAATATAACATGAATTGAAGAATGGGGAATACTAAAAAATTAAACGAATAGGTGAATGGTAAGCTACAGATGTCTGCTTCAACATTTTCATTTAAGCTGGCTTTACAGATAATGTTTTTACATTTTAATTACCTGCAATTATAAGCCAAGCTTAACACCCGTGCCCTCACAGAATTAGAGGCTGATTTTTGTCCAGACACAATTACAGAGCGCTCGGGTGATGAGCACGCCGGGTGCCCGTGTGCCTCATCTCCCCTGGCTGAAGGCAGCTCGCCACGCACAGACGTGCAGCACAACAGCATCCAGACAATGAATTAATTGCTGTTTGTCACTGCCTTCAGCAAGGGGAGCGTGACAAGCAGACACAGTCAGGAGCGTCTCTCAGCCCTTCTCAGGCTGTTTTGGCACAGGCTGGCCCCAAACAATTAACAGAGTGTGTTGGATCTGTCAGAGGTAAAGTGGCTGCTGCGGAGAGCTCCGGCGTGGGCCCGTGTCCGCGGCATCTCTCAGCATCTTCCCATTTGTCACCCCTCCAGTCCCACTGAGCAATGCCTTATGGCCCTGGTTTGGGTCCCAGCTACACAATTAATGCTGCTGGAGGGAACAGCAGGCCAGGCTGGACCAGCCATGTCAGACCAGAGCAACAGAAAAAGACAAGTCTGCCCCCAAAGAAGCTGATTCTTTCACATAGTGCTCCTCCCACTGGAAGGATTTCAGTGAGGTGGAACACAGAGACAACAGACATACAGACAACACACCTTTTCACAGAATGAGTACAAAGCTCCTTTTACCACTTATTGCAGCAGCTCTGCAGGGCAGTGGTTCACTGGCACAGCCCAGAACACCCCTCCACCCCCGAGCTTCAGAGCTGAGACCCTCTGGGGTTCCATACTGGAGAATTATTTTAGGTTGTCCCATTATTCAGTCGCACTTCTGAGGAGCCACTTTCCTTACTCAATGGGAACATGGTGCTGCTGACTTTGTTGTTTCAACTTTGTTGAAAATGAATGGAAAATGGCCTCTAGGAGCCATTCATTGCATCCCTGCACTGTGGCTGATCTCAAGCATGTCTGACTCTGATAAAACATGTACGCAGCCCAAACGGGTAAAATTTAACAACAGCAAAATTTAATCTGCTTGTCCCAAATTAAACCAGACCATTTGGAGAGCAGTGCAAAAGTGGTAAGAAGAGTTCTGTGAATGTCAGGGCAGGTGGGTGATGCAGCCCCATTGATGAGCCACATGGGCAAACACATGATGGAAACAGGAACATGATACACCCACCCTTGACCACCTACAGCATCCAGCCAGGACAGCAAAGCCAGGCTTTGCCCCTGGCTGGCTCAACCTGGCACATGGCCCTGCCAGACTCCCTTGGTGATGAAGAGCCCCCGCCACAGAGCAGCAATGACACCAGAACAAGACATCACAAGACACAGATACATTCTCAGCACAGTCTTACATTCTCCAAAACTCGTGGAATTGATTTCTCTCTCTCTCTCACCCTTGCTCAGTCCAGTTGCAGGTGAAGGTGACATAGCTGTAATATTAATTTTACAGTTTTGCAAAGCTTAATGTATCTGCTTTCTTGTTAGTTCATTTAATTAATTGTGACTTTATGGGTCATGTTAGGCTTGCATGCACAATTTGTTAAGGTTGTAGCTACTATGGATTATGACATACTAAGTTTCACATCTCTGTGCATGTGTAGATATAAAATACACGCACATATGAATTTACACATTTATGCACATGCATACAGGTACATTTGAAAAACCCTTTTTCTCCTTTGAGGAAAAATTTATGTGACAACACCTTAAACATACTTTTCTACAAAAATCTTTCAACTTCATGACATAAGTTAGTTTTCCAAATAGAAATATCTTCACCTAATGTTAAAAGAAATTCTAAATATGTGGTGATGAAAAATGAACACGGTTCTTAATTACAGATAATTTTAATCAAACTTTACTATGCAACTTTAACATGCTATATAAAATAAAAATCTGCCTAGTGTGACATCAATTTCAACATAAGATGGATTCAAGAATGATCAGTGTGGGTTTGCTTTAGTCACTGGCTCATTTGAGGCAGCAGCACTTTCAGTGACTCAGAGCTTGGCAAAGCACAAAATGTTTAAGGCCCAGATTCAGCAAAATATATGAGGACAAGTCTGAAACTAGGAGTGGACACTGAAGCTGATGGAGAGTTTTATAGCTGAAAACACCTGCAATTTACCCATAGATCTCATAAGGCTCCATATCTGCAAGAAATCCATTTACTAAACTATCCCACTGCAGGAGAATTCAAATTTTTTTGTCTTTTCCCTTTAACCAGCCATTTGTTAAAGGGTTCTTGTGGTGGCATGGAAAGCTTTTGAAAGATGGCTTCAGCAGGAGCTCAGATGAACAAGCTCATGTGAGTACCATGGTCCCTTTTAGCAACACATTCTCCAAGGGCATGGATACATCTGTGTGCCCAAGAGTATCACTGCTACTATTTGTCTACTATTCATATAATAAAAGGACATAACCCTGCCAAAGGGCTTTTACTAAAAATCATCTTTCGACTCAGTCTGATCAGAAGGTGGCCGAAATACTCTCTGAAATACTCTGAAATTTATGAGTGTATTCTTCTTTTCTATTTTAAGGGAAAATTATCTAATGTTTGTGTCATTGTGCAAATATTTTTAGTTCTATGTAACTGCTGATGAGCCAACAGGATAGGGTCAAGACTTGTTTGTATTGTTTTAATTAGATTTGGGGAGAGAAAAATCCTCCCAAACAAATTGTGTGCCTGAAAATAAAATTCAAATATTAATGATAACTTCGAATATTTTAAAAGCTTTAAAAATTCTCTATCATGTTCTGCTTTACTTTTAATTAAATGCTTAAGCCCTTCAAAGGGATTCATTAACACATCTGCAATTCAGATTAATTCATTTTGTCACTGCTGTTTTGACAGATGGCCATATGTAGGATACGGTATTTTGCAAAGCAATCAGGCCACATGAGAAAAATTTGACAACAGATTGTGTTAATCTTTAAGGAAGTTTAATAATACATTGAAAAGTAAAAAGCATATTATAAAAATATATTTCAATAAAACAGTGTGAGGTTTCTGAATTGTGGTTCTCTGCTAAGCCACTCAATTGCTGTTTCTGTCTCTGAGTGCTCTTCAAGTGTGTCATTCCTGGATCTTGGAACTGCTTCAGCTTTCAAACCTTAAGGGTTTGTCCTTCCCTCTGATTCATGTACACAACTCCCACGAGCAGCAATGAGTTGCCCATAACGAGGAGCTCGGGCAGCTAAAGCTCAGCACCAGCAAAGAGTGCATTTGCTACCACCACCAAATGCTCTGTTTTCACATTCCCACAAAGCTGGCTATTCTCAAACATCTTAATCCAGCAAAGGCTGGTCACTCTGGGCCAGACTGCAGCGCAGCATCTGAGCTCAGCCTTAGCCTTAAAGCATGCCTTTGGGTTTACAGCTTGGAAATAAGCTTCCTTGGACCTGAGCCCAAACACTCAGCACCTTGCAGGGCTGATCCCCTCACCCCAGGGAGCTCCACATGAAGGAACTTTAACCCACATTTGTGGAATAAAGTTGCAGCTCTAATCTGCTTCCTCCCAGCCAGTCCAGAAACAGAGATGGAGCCTTTCCTTAGCTTTGCATTAGTAATTCCGGCTTAATTTTTGTTCTTTTTTTTCTTCCCCTAAACAAGCAACGTCTGTGGCTCTCCCCCGCAGAATTGGAGCACTTTCTGATATTAAGATGCATTAGGTAAATCATGAAAATACATGCTTTTACCCAATTATGGGTTAGCTGGTCCTTTTCAACCTAATTGTTCTCTAGCAATGACTTCAGTGAGACAGGTCACATATGGCAAATACTGTCTTTTTGAAAGAAATACTGATCCAAAGACAACTCAAGTACAGGAGGAATGAATTTTAGACATTCTGAAATATTAAATATTGCCTTTGCTTTCTGTGTCTACATTCTTATTATTAATGTAAGTAACAATGGGATGCATTCCCAGAGAAAAAGGCAGTAGGTATTCATTACAGATTCAGTACTTCTTAGAAATATCTTGGAGAAGAGGAATTCATATACTGAATAAAACCTCTTTACAATATTTTTTTTTAGATTAAAAAAATCTGTCTGGGCTGGAGCTAATGAATTCATCTTCTTGTATCAACTGCACTTGAAAAATTGCACTATGCTCTTTTTATGCTCAACAATTTCAAAAATGGGACAAAATAAAACACTTAAGATGATCTAACACTCTAAAATTCTGTCCTTTTTAAATTCCTGATATGCTTCAACACAAAGGCTTGTTCCTGTTTTTCAGTCCACTTGTTGAGGATTCAAAACCCTGAAGAACATCCTATAACCCCTTTTTCAGGCTTTTTAAGGCCAGCAATTACCAGAGGGCAAGGCCTGAGTGGCAGAAGAGCTGTGCTGGGGCTCCTCAAGTGGTGGAGCCTTCTAAAACCCCCCCAAATTCCCTGGTGACTGCATGTGTCACCCACCCTCAGCCCTGGCACTGGGGTGACATCCTCCTGCTGTGCATAAGATTTTCACTTAGCTCTGCTCACACCTCCATCAGAAGGCTGCAGAGAGAGAGAGTCACACCCAGCACCCAAAGCTGTCATTGGAGATGAGAGTCCCAAAGCCTGAGGGAATGGGTGAAGTAAAGGAGAAAGAGAAGATGTGACTGTTTCCCCACCAGCCAAAGGCGGCACTGGAGTTAAACCCAACTGCGGATGGGTAAAAACATGAAGAAGAGCACAGGTGGAGCTGACAGACAGCAGAGCTGGAGTCCCCAGGGAATGGTTTCTCCCATCACACACTGATGCTCAGTGTCAGCAGAGCTCCCTGCAGATAACCCGAGAGCCATGCTTGGGAAAAACTGGGAATGAGTCTCCAAGGGATGATTCAGGTTCCTAAGAAAGGCAGAGAAACACAGGGCTTCACCCCAAGCCCCCAGGGCAGCAGAGCCAGGTTTCAGCTGTGAACCACAGACTCTGCTTATGAGACTAGTGATAAATAAGGGCTTGGTGAGGCAAGGAGGAGCTGACCACTGACCTCAAAGTAAAACCACCAGTCATGCTCTGGGATCAGACCACAAAAGTAGAAAGAGCACATCCAACTCAATTTTTCACTTATCTTTCCTGCTTTTCTTCACATTTCATTACCCACAGCAAAGCCATGTCACTAGCTATGAGTGCAGGTTAATCCCCAGGGAATGTGTTTCACTCCAGCTTAGGGTTGGAAATTCACAGACTCTTGGACACCTCTAATGGTTTAAAAGAAGATATAAGCCATATCACACGTCCACCATTCTCCAAAAAAACCCTATCTATGAAACCAAGAAAGCTCAGAAAAACGCCTTCTTGAAAGGGAACAGCAATGGGATGAAAAGGTCATAGAAAAGCAATAATGTTCAAACAGGTTTTATCTGGTAGAAGAGGCAAGAGACAAGGACTGAAGCAGGAGAAGAGGATCAGCCCCACTACAGAGATGCTGGACTATGGAAAGGTGAGGCAGGGAAGCTGAAGGGGTGTAGCAGACCCCAGTCTAGCAACAGGCCCAAGCAGTGAAGATTGTGGCAAAGGAAAAGATGAGGTGTGGGAAGCCAGCAGGTCAAGAGACTGTGAAAAGGCCTCTGGAAGGGCTCTAGGCCCAGCCAAGGACAAAACCTCTACAGGATAACTGCAGCCATTGAGGAAAGATGGAGGATTTAGCACATGGTGTTGGAGGTGACACAGAAGGGTGACTGCCTGTGCACTTCAGGCTCAGTCTTGGGTCTTATCAGAAAAGACAGACAGGAGTTAAGGCTGCTAAGCTGATACTAATGACTAATTAGTATGAGTTAAACAGTTAATTAGAAATTAGCTAAGTAGCTGCAGGGGGTCAGAGGCAATGGCAGCACAGTGCCTGCAGGAACCGCGCGGGCCGGGCAGTGGGAAGGCCAGTGCCATGGGACACTTGTCCACCCAGGCAGGAGAAGGAGGAGCTCTGCCCACAGCTCTGCAGGGCTCAGCAGCCACTGTCCCTCAGCTCTCACCCCTTTTTCCCATTTCAATGAGCTGCACATACAAGCTCTGTCACTGCACTCTGCAGATCAGCGTGACCTGAGAGCCTGCAGGGTCAGTACGCCCAATCCCCAGGAAAGGATGGGAAAGGAGGCAGAGCACAAAAGCAGAGACACCTACAAACTGCATTGCTGAGACATTCAATCCAAAGAGATGCATCTTCAGCCAAGAAACTGTGACTCATGATTTAATTTTCCCAGGATATAAGACTTCAAAGTGATTCATTTCGTCAGTGAGAAAAAGTCCTACCATTTTTCATTCTGAGGTAAAGGTTAATTTCTTACTGGTTTTACCAATTTCCAGTTAGACAATAAAATCAAACAGTGGGTGGTACTCTCAGAGCACTAAGACTTTGAAACTCCCTTTTCTCTACCTAAAGTAACTACTGCCTTTCAAAATGAACCTAACACTGGAACTCTTTAAGAAGCTTTTACAGATTTGATCATCTTCAGCAGTGCAATTAAAGCAAAGCCAATTTGTTTATTTTGTTTCCTGAGAAGAAACTGATTGAAACCACATTTATGGTCTTGGAACAGAGTCAAAACCCTGCTGAATTATTAGCCAATTGTGCAGATTATTAATTGCCATAAAAGCCACTCACAATATGCATTTAATATCTGTATTGTTAAAGTGTCCACTCTGGTCAAAGTAAAATGGCTCAGCTGGATTTTCTCCTCCCCAGAGTGAGGCTGAAAAGCATCTGATATGAATTTCAGCAAACTAAATACTTCCCCTCCTTACTGAAATTCCTATGCATAACAGATAATGAGTCTTAACCTCAAAAAAAGAGGTAAGGATCTGGATAACGAACTTGAAAACTCTCCTCCAGCCTAAATTAAAAACACAATAAAAACATAGGGGAAAAGACAGTCTTTAATTTTAAAGAGATTTTTCATATTAATCTTTGGTCTAAGAAAGATGATCCTAAGAGAGATGATTCCTAGAGATGGCCTAAACCCAATCCTCATGAGACAGCAAACTGCATCTCTACCAAGTGGATCCCACCGACAGACACCAAATCAACCAGCAGAATCCCTACGCTCCCAGCAGAACCCAAAAAGATTCATTTCTTCGCAAAGAAAACACCCAGGCAGCAGCTGCCGGAGCCGTAGCCTTAGCAACTCCACCTGCTTCATACTCACGTCGGCTTTCATACATGCTCCTGGACTGGGCCCAGATTTTGAATGGATCTGGCTTTTTCTGGGCAGCAGTGTCGGGCTGGTCGGCGGCCGGCGCCTCGGGGGCGGCGAAGTCGGGCAGCACCTGGGTGCTGTGCGCGGGGGACGCCGTGTGCCCGCTGCGGTGGCTCGAGACGCTCTGCTGGGAACTGTTTTGGCTGTCTTTCCTTTCAAGTGGTTGCTGTAAGGAAGAGAGCGAGTGGAAAGGGAGAGAACAGACGGTTATTGGTCGCTGAGTGGGTGTTTTCCCATCAATTTTTCTCCCTTCTTTGATCAGGCTTTTTTCTGCATGCACATAAGTAAATATATTAAGTCACAGTTTTGCTGCTACTCAGTTAATGCTGGGTGCAGCTGAATTCCCTGGTGACAGATTCTGATAGGCAGACTGACAGAAAGAGATATACAAAACAATGTAATTCTTCATTAAAAAAAAAGAGCATTTTTCCATCTCAAACATAAGGCAGAGCTAAATCTCATTATAGGTTACTAGTTTCAGCGCACTTATTTTTTCCTGAATTAAGGCAAAAAATCTCACCAACCTATTCAGATAACATTTGCGTCTAACTGGAGCCTGAAAGAAAATGGAAGAACTATTTGCTGTGAAAACTTTGTGATTTCACTGTGAAAACTCAGACTGTTCCTCTGAACAGATTCAAGCACAGCCCTTACTATGCAAGATCACTTTTTCTCCCCACGTAACAAATCTGTGGACGTCTGAGTACCCCTTTAATGGCTCTGCTCCCCAGAGCATCCAAGGGACTTCTGCAGACCTTAACAAATGTGAAAATATCTATTTGATGTGTTTTAATTAAATATATTTAAACAGGAAAAAATTAATCCATCTAAACTCAGGGCTTATTCCAAAGTAGTGTGTCAAGAGTTCTGACTACTTACTATTTAGCTAAGCAAGGTATATAGCTCTTAACTCAAATTCACAACTGTGTGTTCAAATGAAGCACAAGCTACATTTGCATTGCCAGGATTTGTACAAGTCAATATGCAGCAAAATCCTCAACAAGAGCTCCCCACACTGTGCAGCAAATGCTTTTTAATGCTCTTTTGAGATGAACCTTGGATTGCCACCAAGGCTGAGTGCAATCTCCCACCTGCTCTGGAACAGGGAACTGTGCTCCCAGGGCTGCTGTGACACAGAGGGTGGTCAGAAAAACAGCATCTCACAGGTTGTTTATGCAACATCCACTGTTTCCCAGCTAAAAGGGGTCAGCTACAAACACCAATAAACCTCAGGCGGGAATTCAAACCTCCTGCTGGCAGAGGGTATCTCAAAACACTGCAACAGAATTCTGTGCTTTCAGATACTTCTCTCTAGGAACCCAGGCTGGGGTAGGGAGAGAAGCCAGCAGCAGACACAGACTGGATCAGCATGGGGGGCTCCCTGGCCACGGGTCTGGGCACCCCTGGGCTCACTCTGAACACGAGACCCCAGGCAGCCACACTCCACATAGAACAGCTGCATTAACTACAGAGGAGAAAGTAAACATACAAAGTGCCCTCTTTTAAAGTCTTAACAAAACCCAAAACCCCAGGTAAAATTATTGTGAGGTTGTACATTCTTCAGGTTTACACTGAGAAAAAATCCCAGCTTCAACAGCCCAAATAATGTTGACCTTTCAGCCCTGTATTTGAGTTGTTGATCCACCACCTGCATCTTTTTAAAGGGTATCTCGATTGACTAGAATGTGAAATTGCCTTTGTCCTCTAAAGCAATTTTGAACAAAGCTTACCTGCTGTGATTACTCATCTGCAGACTTTCAAATACAAATATCTAAACCAATTTCCAACATTTTTAGCTTTTTAAGTGGTAAATGAAGCTAATTCACATGTAGCCCTTCAATTTTTTATGAAGCCATTTTAAAACAGCTATGCTGGGGATAATCAACTTAAAAAAAAAACAAAAGCATCTCTCAGTCCAGCCATCTGGATTGGTTTGTTTGGCCAAACCACTAAAATAACTACAAGAATCCTGTGAAACTTTAGGCCAATCCCACTGGAAATAGCTGGTTACAGAATGTGGAGGACAGGGACTAAAATGTGAAGCTTTATTCAGCCCTTAGGGAAATAATGAGAACTCTCTGAAAGCTTTCTGATTTAAAAAGAAACAAAGTTTGAACTTTAAGAAGTGCTCTCACTTTGTGATAGAAAAGGTTTACATTTTGAACAAACTGTGAATTGTTTTGTATTTGGATTGCAAATGGAAGTGTCAGCATATATTAAGCGAAACTACCTCTAATTAAACTAGAGTAGCAATTGCAAAAATAGGTATTTTTCAAGAAATAGCTGATAACCTCTTTAGTGGGACTGGTAGTTTTCCAAAAAATAACTCCTTCAAAAAGCCTGAAACATCTCTATTTAGGAGGGGGGACCAGAGTGAGGGCCACATAACATGGTAATTAGGAATGGATGTAATTAAATTAATCCAAGACAATATTTATTGACTTTCATATCACCAGAGGAGGCCAAAAAGGTTTGGGGCCAAACTTCTTTGCACATGTTGCAGCAGCTTCAGCACATCATAGCCATGAGGAATTGCAGGGGTCTGACCATCCTGGTCCCTGCCATGGGCACTGCTCAGGTGAAGTTTTGTGTCTTGGTAAACAAAAAGCAGAGTTTTCCCAGGAGGGATGAGCTGACCAAATGGCAATGAAAGGATGGCTTGTCCATCTCCTGCCTTGTGCCCAGCTTTAGGACCAATCCTCCTGGGTCTGAACCTCACTGTCCAGCTTGCTCAGTTCACACACAGCTCCTTTCTGCTCAGGAAAGCAGCAGATGAGCTCAGGGTCTGGCTGGTGACAGAGCAGGAGGCTCTGAGCTCACCCTGAGGTGCTGATCATGGTTTTCATATCAGCTGAACTGCACTGAATTCTGCCAGGAGCTGTGAAGAGCTTGGGCCACTGAACTACCTGAGCACCCCTGATTCTTCAAAGATCTTCTCCAGAGCTGCTGATAAGAATCAGTGGCTCTCCAGGAGGACCTTTACCAAAAGTGGCTAGAAATCAAGGCTGTGGTGACTATCTCGAGTCCATTCAGGCTGACTGCACACTTAAATACAGGTGATGAGATAAAATACTGATTCTGTTTTACAGCCATGACAAAATAAATACATGGGAAGCTGGAGCTTCTCATGCCCTACCCAAACCCCTGGACTCTGAATAAAGAGGGATGTCTTGTACAGACTCATGTGGAACCAATTTCTCTTCCAAAATCAGGACATTGGCAGAGTCCCTGGTGCTGCTTATCCACCCAAAAAAATGTGGTAAATCTCTTGTCTGGGACTAGCTGTGCATAGGAATTGCATTTTTGGTCACAAGTCAGCTATGCTGACAATGCACCTATTTAAATCCAAAAGAAAAACATCAGATTTTTGGAAGAGCTTAGCATTTTATCCCCCCTGCAGTGATCCCATCTCCTGATGATCTAGATGCAGATTTTGTGCTGTAGAGCTTTTTGGAGAAGCTGGTCCTGGCAGTGACAGCAAACTGAGCTGCAAGTGGGAATCTTTGCCCCCTTGTGGAGTATTTTGATGCAAGCAACAAGGAAAAAAAAAGAAAAAAAAAGTTTGCGCTCATCCATGTTATACCAGGATAATTGCAGGGGAAAATGGTATTACAGAGAATTTTCACGCTTAAAATGTATATCTCTAGATGTTCAATAAAAATATTATCCATTTTCATGCAAAAAATAATCAATAGGAAATTAAACGAAAAGAGGAGCAGCACAGAGAGCTGCTGGGAGCATGTCCTTGGTGAGGGGAAAGGGAATAAAGAACTTCGACATGTCCAGTCCCATGTACAGCTAGAAAGGGTTTTTTTACTAAATTAGCTCTTTCACCAAGGTTGAAAAACTCTCCTTAAAATCCGAGAAAAGCAAAGTCTGTCAGCAGATACATACAGACTGACAAACACAGCCCAGCAAACCTGAGCTGCAGGCAAGAAAACTTCCCAGGCTGTGTGACAGCCCCAGCAGCAACAAACCTCTCCACAGCTTTAACAGCTCACCACAGGCAGGAGGTACCAACAGCCTGAAGCTGGCCTTGGGGAATGCAGGGCTGGGGGCTGAGAACAGAAAATAGGATTTGTTTGAGGAATACCAGCCACTGGCAGTAAGAGGGGAATGTGTCTGTGCTTTGGGAAAGGATATGAGGAGACAAGAGAGGGTTCATCTCCTGAGCAAAGCAGAAGATGGACACCTGAGTCGTGACTTCCCTGATGCAGCACAAGAAACAAAAAACAAGCACAAGCTAAGATCAAAGCCAACTACTCCCAGCTCAATGTGTGCTGTCCTCTAACTGCAGCCTGTTTATTGTACAAGGAGTGCTGGAAAAGGGAAATGCTGAGGAAAGGCACAGGGGCAATGGGCAGCATGTCCCCCCAAGCCCCACAGCTGTGCTGTGCTGGGGACAGCCCCTGGTACACAGCTCTGATGGCACCTCCTGTGTTCACCCCATCACTGCCAGTGCAGCAGCAAACTGGGAGTCCCTGGGCTTGAGGGCATCACTAGAAAACACACAGGCACAGTTCAGAGAGGGGATCCCAGACAGGGACCGTGCCAGCAGGGCAGGACTGGCTCCTGCCTGTCGTGAGTGGGAATCCTCGTGGCCAGGAAGGTCAGGCTGGACTCCCTGCTCCCTGCAGTGGAGCATCAGCCCTTCAACAAACCAAGGACGGACAGTGTTAGACACCACCTCTTCCCTGCCTCTCACTGCTGCCTTGGCCACACGAGCTCTGGGTTGGTGTAAATCCCCCCTGGAGATGCCCCAAGGCACTTTGCCCCAGGTTTCCACGCTCAGTCCCCGCATGGCAGCGATGCCTGGGGAGGAAGGAGCGGCTGCAGTGGCTGAGCCCCGCTGGCTCTGCCCTCCGAGGAGCAGCCGCTCACGGTGCTGCAGTGAGTCCAACACCGCTGCGAATTGCGCTGGTGATGACCCCCTGTGCAGCCAGGGGAACAGGAGGCTCTGCTTTTTGGGAATCCTGCACTTTAGAGGCAACAGCACCACCTAGGACCGTAGGAAAAATCACTGAAGGAACCCTGAACAGGCTTGGGAGAGGCAGGCGAAGGAATGCCAGCTTTCCCCAGGCTGACAGGCTCCTCAGAGCAAACAGCAGAGAGAAATCTGCTGTTGCACAGCTACACCTGTTTGTAAGCAGCCTCTTTGTTCACCAAGGCTGGATTATCCAGCCATGGATTTACATGCTGCTCAGATTTTCACTGTGCATAGCTGTCAGCCAGAGAGGTGCCTGACACAGCAGGATCCGCTGTGTGTGTGGCAAAGTGGGAGCATCCACGCTCGGGGAAGACCGCGGCTGATGGATTAGGGCCGGTTTAATGACAGAAGTCATAGCCCAGATCGCGTGCAGCCAATCCTGCTCTGACCAGGGGAGAAAGTGGAGGCAGGGAACAGAAACGTGCCAGACACGTCTGTGTTTTCCACACTGGCTTCTGGCTCAGCGAGGGCTGGAGCAGCCCCCGCGTGTGACAGCGGGCAGGGGCTGACAGCGCCGCGATCCGCGAGGAGCACACCCCGCACTTCTGCCTCCCAACATTAATGCGAGCTGACAATGGAAGAGGCCTGGGCTCACATGACTTTAATCAGCACTGCCCTAAGCCATCAGAATCACATTAATTATTTCAGGGCTTTCTTTTTGGATGAGCAGAGAGCTCGTATTAAAAGCAAGAGCCTTCTGCTCAGCCGCCTCCTAAACCTTTTGCCCAGGTTTGCAGTGAGGCGGGCTGTGCCCAGCTGCAGGTTTTGGCATGACCAGGGACTGTTGGTGAAGTTTCACACCACCTTCCAGCACGGCAAATACCTCACTTGCTTTGCTTCCCCAAAACTCCTGGCAGAGAATTTTGTCTCTCCCCCTCTCTCAACAGATAAGTGCAAACTTTCAGGCTTTAGGTATTTCATTCCCTTTAAAAATAAAACATTGCTTTTTGTTGCATACAAATAGCACATTAATTTCTTCCATAATATCATTCATGGAGCTTTAACGATACTTGAGATCACGGCTTCCGTGCTGCTAGCTGAGATGCTAAGATGTTTCCAGGTAACAGCTTTACATGGAAATACATTCGGGGGGGGACAAGAAAATATTGTTCTGTTGTTGCTTTTCTAAAAGATCTTCCTTCTAAGAGGAATCTTACACCTGCAGGACATTCCTGCTCAGTATGGAAATGCTTCCAGAGCAGCTGGAGCACTCGGACAGCTGGCTGTATTCCCTGAGAACTGTAACCATGCTCTGTTCATGCTTTGTCTCTCACAACAAGGTGCATGCTTTCCCATTCTGTTAATAATTCAGCCAAAGGTTCTCAAGAAAACTCATTGAGTTAATGGAAAAGGTTGGTGCCTATGAGCACCCGACAGGAATTGGTATCTAGCAAGAAGGTGGAGCCTCCCATCTTTCCAAAAGGAAACAATAGCTTTTTTTTTTTTTTTTGGTAAGTTAAACGATAGAGAAGCTCATCTGTCAGGGAAGCGGATTTGTAAACCTGAGGCTTTATTTGCAAACAAGTCCCCCTTCCGTACTGCATCCCCCTCTGGTCTCCCCATGCAGCAGGAGCCGTGCAAGGTAATCATGGTTGCAACAGAAAGACAACTTAAAACAATCGAGACCCAGAAAGCAAACAAGCCAAACTCATGCTTTTTCCCCTTCAAAGCAGACAAACAGACAGAAATAGTAGCTGAAAAGTGCTTACCGACTTTGGGCTCTTCTTTGGGACTGGCAGTCCTGAAAAATGGCAACAAGGGAAAAATAAACATTAGCATTAAGCGTTACCTTCCCTTAAAGAAAAAAAAAAATCCCTAGGTGTATGATCCGAAGGTAGCCATCTGCAGAGTTATGTCAGCTCCAGCTCTGGCACCGGAGTTAGCAGTCTGTTCATATCGAATCAAAGCCCGGCGAGAGGCAGAGCCAGCCAGAGCCGGGGAAGCGGCAGCGGGGGGAGAGCTCTCTCTGCATTAGCTACGCTGCCTTGTGCTGCAGAGAGAAACCCACAGCCCTCAGCGCTGCCCAAACCCAGCGCCTGCCTGGGCAGAATCTCAAATGCTCCCCTGGATTACAGGAGGTTTAGCTCACAATTAAGCCGGGGCTCTTTCCTCTTGACGCGATTGCCTCGGCGGTTTTGATCGGACCAATCGCGGCGGCGCAGGGGAAACAGGTTGATTTTTTAAAAAGTATTTCTCTAGGAATTGATTTTTTTTTTTTTTCCCCCGAACGGAAAATGTGAGTTGGGTTTGAGCTGAGAGGTGTGGGCTGGGCAAAGGAAAACAAAAGCATGAGGAAGAATAAGCTTTTCTCCCTACAATTATGAATGTCACTGGAAAAACACAGGTTTTCCTTCCTGTCCATCCTAAGTGGAAATCTTTGAGATTTTATCTATTAGGTATAATTCCAGAGAGCTGTGGCTTGAGAACAGTGCCCTGACCCCTGGGGGGGATGCTAGGGAGCTTGGAGAAGCAGGGCTTACACGGATTGCAGGTGATGTAAAGGAACAAACACCAGGAGGGCATCAGGGAAGGTTTTTTCAAGGATAATTTTGCATTTTGAAGCAGCCTCTTACTCAGTCTGTGATGAGCAAGAGAACTCAAGTGATATTTCAATCAGCTCCTTGTGCATAGAGCCTAGTTGCCAGCAGCAAAGGAGACGCTTGCCTGGGGATTTACCTACAATGCAGGAAAAGCTCTTTCTTGAGGTCAAGACCTCCCTTTTCCCCCCGCTGTTGGAAGAGAGAGGAAACCCCCCATATTTTTTTTTCTCCGTGTAACACTCCAGAAACAAACATAAACCAAAACACAGATTACACTCCACATTAAGTGCTCCGTAATTCAGATGTTTGAAATCTGCTTTTGTCTTTAGGATGTGATTTATGTGGCATTTATGCCGCATTACGTTTTCTACTTTATGCATTTTGTTTATTCTAAACCCCATGCCCTCATATAACTTTTACACAGAGAATAAAACAAGCAGTGTGCGTGAATTACAAATCTGTCTAGGAAGATGCTTCTTTTAAGGTAATTTGGGAGATGTTAGCACTGAATAGGGAAGATCCACAATTAAAAATGATAATCAGAGCACAATTTGCTGCTACTCTCAGACTGGGATGCATACTGTAAGGAGTATTTTAAATGAAATATTTTCAAGCTTTTGAGGAATATCTGCTCTGCATGTCACTCTGATGCATTCCCAGCCAATAGCTGATACTCCTCCAGGCACTGATTGATTGAGGGACAATGAAACATCAAACTGTTTGAACTAAACAATCGAGACTGCAGCTTCATTTCTGCTGATGGGGACTGTGTTTGTATAATATCCTTAAAGAGGAAAACACTTCATAACGTTCGTGGCAAATCACATTTTTAACAGGCATCATTTATCACAGAGATAAACACACAGATAGAGATTCTCCTCTCTCTCTCCCTCATTCCACATGCATGCACACACGTTTACTCTCCCTTTCCAAGAGATGATCTTTCCTATTAAATCAATACATGGAACACATCCCCATGCACACACGCACCCTTAACAGACCAGCACGAGACAGAAAGGATTTAACAACATTTTAAATGTTCCCTCCAAAAAATAAAGTGGAAATGCAGGTGAGCTGCTGGGTCAAATTGTATCAGAATTCAGTCTATTACATCACCAGCATTAAATATTAAAATTTAGTAAGTATGAACTACTGAACAAACCTTTCCTTCAAAAGTTTGTCATTAATGTTGGCTATTCCAACCCCAAAAGAGATGGAAAACAATTGAAAAATAAAGGAAAACATATCAAGGCTATTGTTTGGTTGGTCCTTCAGAGGCCAATGAATCTTACAGTGTCACTGCTCTGTGCCAGACTTTGCTGCAGAACAAGCAATAATTTACTTCTTACCAAAATAAGTGACTGCAGAACACGTTAACAAATGTTGGTAGTTTTTCATGGGACAAGCTTATAGTCAGGGGAATAACCTGTCTGTACATTTTCCTGTGAAAATATTATTTATTCATCTAATTAGGGTCTCATTTTAGAACTCCAGTTCCTGGCACAGCAGGCCAAATGAGCAAATGATAGGTGTAATGGGGAGCTTTCATGCTCAGATGATGGAATGGATACAGTATTTAACAGAGATGAACACAAAGTGTTTGAACAACCCCCAAATCCTGGGAGCTCCACCAGCAAGGAAATGCTGAGCGTTTCCAAAAAGCTTCTGGTGAAAACATTTCCCAAGCCTATGAATTTGGCCTTAGGATTCCATTACCATGGAATCCCAGCACTGCTCATGCCATGCCTTGCTTGGAAGCTCATCCTCTTGGCTGCCCCGTTCTCTCCTGAAGCCTCACTGCAACTTTTTCAGAGGTAAATGGGCCAAGCATAGACTGAACGCCCCATCTGCATCTTTTTGGCACTATCCAGCTTTTTGGTGGTTCTATAAAGGGCTTCACATCCCTCGCTAGGAGAAGCCAGAATAGTAATAATTTATTGCTGACATTGCAATATAATTTCCCTGTGATTTGATACCTATAGGCATCTCTCACTAGTACCTGAAATGCATCTTCTGATTTTGGGAGGTTTTGGAGATACAGATTAGAGAAGATGGAAGAGTCAAGCAATCACACAGGGCTGTTGTCACCACAGAGTTAACAATGTTTTAAAACAAATGAGCACATCTGGTAAACAATGTCAATATGACCTAAAACCCCTTGAATGGGCTACTTACTAAATGTGCCTAGAATTAAATTAATTAGAAAACACAAATTACTTCCCTCTAAATAACAGTGTAATAAAGCAACTGCTTAATGAAAAATATCTGTGATCAGTGAGCAATCCACAAGAACAAAAAAAGGGATTGTAATCAAACTAAATTCATAGACCCATGAGCAAAGCAAGAAAGACTTCATACAAGGTTAGTCAAAAATGAGTCAGACGCAGGGATCTAAATTAAACTAATTATCACAGAGATTATTACATTTATCTTAACAAAACCCTTTCTCTTTTTTTCCCTAGTACTCCCTAAAGCTCTGTGTACAGCTGGCTGCATCCATCTGCTCAACTACATTTTGTAACATAGGGGAAAAAATACAAATCATTAAGCAAGTTTTGTAGCATGACTTCAGCACTCTTAATGCCACTACCCATGAGGAGCTGTACTTCTGTTGCATGACACTGTGTTATGTTGTGAGTGATGTGACCCATGAATTAAATCCATAATTCAGCTTATTTCATATTATTTGTGTTAACTGTGCAGTCTTGAGTGGTAAAACTTTTGGGGAGCTGTAAGGTTGCTAACCCTTTTTATGATGAGCTCATGGAAGAACACCTGGGACAAAACTTGACCTCAAGTGTTGCTGTTTCTAACATGCAATTTTTAAAGGGACATTTTTTTCCTCAACTCCTTTGTCTTTATTGCAACCTAAGTAACACAGGAAGACCACAAAACATGGCAAACTCTGCTTTGCTGAGCATACACAGAATGCAATGTGTGACCACAAACCCACACCACAGCCTGGGCCTGCTTCTGGTGAGAGCTCAGAAGGCCACAAACACCCTAAAATTACCTAAATGGACAGCAGACACAACGTGCCCTGTTCCACAGCCCTGTGTTTTAGAGGTAGTTGAATTTAAAGTAGAATTTAAAGTTGAATGCTAAGGAAGACTTAACTCTAGGCACTACAGGAGTCATGCAGTCAGCCCATCCCAACAGCTTGGACATGTGGAGGCCAGCTGCTGTGAATACTTCACTTTTCACCACACATACACACACATATGCACACAAATTACATATTTCAATGGGATTTCAACTGAAGTTGGAACAATTCAGTAGTTTGCACAACCCACCCACAGGACAAAGGCTCCTGGAGTTGCTAAGAGCCAGTCTGGAGGCCTTGCTATCATCTTATGTATGGATTACAATGTCTGCCTACTGCTCAACATTTTTGATTTTTGGGGTGGTTTTGCACTTGAAAGAGAACAGCTGTTTCTATATCTTCACTTCTCAGAGTTCCTTAACTCATCCAACACCTTGGATGGTCACTGTGGACCATCTATATCCAAGACCAAGACAAGCCAAAGGTGAGTCTAAGGAAAGGTCACCCATGAGGTTTTGCCCTTATATCACCTGCAGCCCAGAATGCACCAGTGCTGAAAATTAATTGGGGGATGAAGGAAAACACAAGAAAATAAAGATTTCGGACTGTGTCCCAAGGTTAACATTTACAGAGAAAATGTTCCTGCCTGGAAAAAAAATAAAACCTTCAAGCTTTCTAAATAGCACTTACACTGTGCTGAATAAAAACCAAAGGCTGTATCAAAGAAAACAGACACTTTGAAAGATGAGGTTTAGGTAAAGTACTGGAGTCAGGGGGTGCACAGCCATATACCTGGCTTTGAACATTGATCTGTGTGCAAAACAAGGAACTTTAAATAATTAAAGCTAATGGCCATTAGTGCTGCTGGGGGGGCAGGGGACAGGAGATTGGTGGTGACAAAGCAATGCCCTTGGTTCCCTATGATCCATTGCCAAAGAATTTCTGATAAAGGACAAATACCATCTAAAAGACTAGATGGAAGTTTATCTTTTCCAGACCAGAACAATCAGCAGCAAGAGAAGCAAGTCTGTGCAAGCATAAGGGGAAGAAAAAATCAAGAAGAAATCCCCTACCTGTCCCTGCCAAACTTTTCTGCTCGTCATCGTGATTTGCATAACAAGAGTGACACTGCACTAGCAAAAAAAATTAGCTATGCAA